TCCACTTTATTAAATAGTTGCAGTTGACCGTGGGGGGCGTTATTATTAACATCAGATGAACCGCCAATTCGCTTCCCACTTTCTGACTTAAAAAGAAAGATAGGAGAGACCAGAATGGAACCCGTTGTTTCGAAATATTATGTCCAAGATGAAAATGGTAGGTACTGTCCTACCCCATCAGTGTACAGAGGTGGGTATGATATCCCACGCGTAAAGGTTATTCATACAATGGCCACTAGGGTCAACGTACAATGCTAAATCAGAGGCAAAGTCCGATGATAGGACGTTTATTGTGTTATGTAGGACTGAATGAAGCGCTTGCAATTTATCAGTTAGCTCCAATTTCGGGCACTGTGCGTGTTTTTTCCCGCCATCAGAGCGGTCCACACGGTGTTGTTTTTAGCGTAATCTATTAGCTAAATATGTATTTATATATGTGGTTTGTATGAACGCCGTTACGTATAATACTACCGTTTAATTCAACTTACATTTTCCTTAAGAATGGTCAGGTCAAATTCAAATATCTTTATTCAATATAGACATTATACTTTCTTATTGATTGTCAAAACACTACCACCGGTATTCGTGACAATGGTTATCGATCTTATGAATTTTACTCATTCATTAGGAAAGAAGGTAAAATTTATGGACGCGTGATATACTGACACCATAGCACTAAAAACAGCGTGATGAATTAGTGTTGGTTAAATAAATATTTTTGTATTACACCGTTCCTTTTTGAACCTCATTGGTGTGACGTAACGGCCGGCCACCATTCATGCTATCTCTTTCTCTCCCATACACAACTACATGTCTTCTTCTCATCGTCATTTTGAAGAGAAGGAGTGAAAATAATGCTAAGTATTTTTTGTGTCATAATATAAAAATCCAACATTTATAAATATTGATACTATTTTCAATAATATCAAACTAAAAAATCCGTTAGTTAAGCATGAAATGAATCAGTTTTACAATTTGTAGAAATTTTTTTTTCTATATATAATGTTTCATCCTGAGTGTAGAGATTAGCTCTATAAATATTTAAAAGATTGATTTTATTGATTTGATTCTGTTTGCTTTTTTCAGTCAGTTGCAATTTAATTTATACATTTATTTATTTATCGTGATATCAATAGAACTTTATATTTTTTAGAACTTTAACTTTTTTATTATATTAAAATATACATAATTACAAACCACATTGCCATAAAAGATTGACATTTTTTGAGTAATTCAATTTCTCGTTTACTTTGAGAGACTAATATACTCGTAGATTTTAACGTACAAACTCACTCAATAGAGATTAATTTAAAAAAGCATAAATAATTATCATTAAAAAGCATGAAAACATACATTAGTTATAGTAAAACTTGACACATATTCACAGCCTGTAATATATGTTACTAATCATTTAAACGAAATAAGCAATACTACTAGAACTACTAGAAAAAAAAATAAGGACTACTAGAAAAAAAAAATCGTTTTAATGCTGTCCTTCAAATAGAACCCGCTGCTAATCGCTAATCTAGTTTCAAGTAATGTTACATATACATCGATGCCAATTAATTTCGAGTAAGTATCAAATCTTAAAAATTATTCAGTTGTAAACTTTATACCCTTAGCAGAAGGTTAAAATTCGGTAATATAACAAGTAATAAAACAAAAAATATAACACGCATAAATTAAAACAAAACTTGTATTAAAAGTAATAATAGTTCGTATCGACCCGTATCCAGTATTTTAAGAAGACGTATTAACGTTAGATAACGCATGGAGAAACATGTCGACAATTTTAAAGGAACCAATTATAAAACCAGTGTTCGTATTAAAGGATTCAAACCGAACATTTTGTACCCATGTGCGATAAATAACCACGTAGATTATAAATACTGAAAATCTAGAAAAACAAGCCGAACTCGCCCACGAAGGGTTCCGTATAATAGGAGGCCTACTTAAACTAATTTAATTTTCAGAAATACATCATGTGTCATGTTTACTGCCTAACTTTCACGGTTCATGAGATACAGCATGGTGACAGACAGACAGACAGACAGCGGAGTCTAGTATTAGGGTCCCGTTTTACCCTTTTGGTACGGAACCGTAAAGATATGGTAACAAAGACTAAACGGCATTTAAAAACACTTGTCAGTAACTCTCTTTCCTGCCGAATAGGTCTTTAGGGCAAGAGTTAAAAGCTTTTACCGAACTACTTAACCAGTATATAGTAGTCAAGTTAAATTACCAGTTTTTTTCTTACTTAAAAATTAAACATCTCAAATGAATGACTAAACTTAAATAACAGTAATGATTTATTAATTACTAATACTAAACATTTACTCTACCTTTACCCTTTTCATTTTATTATATTTTAATTTACTCTATTTATTCTACCTTTATTTTATGACTCACATAGGTATGTCGGATGTTTATCACGTCGTTTATTAAACTCTCTTTTTGAAAACATTTTAAACCGAAAGTTAATATTGTAATAAATATTTTCAACGACTCGGTGAGAAGCGGGACGCGCGGCGTAAAAAATATTGCATTCGCTCGTCACGTACAAACGTATAGGACACCTAGCAAACAGTTGTGTGCGTTTTTTATTCGTTCCGAAACTCGTTTCGGGACTTTTGGACTGTGCCTCGTACTTTTGTGCTTTTATTTTTAAACGTTAGCTATAGAGCTGTTTACTTTTGTGTCCTCTCTACATTGTAAGTCCATGGAATAATTTGCGGTAATAATACAGCCGCTGTAGACGAGTCGTTGCTAGCCAGCCTTCGCATCAATCGAATACTGCAAAAACTAAGCTTCAAATCTTATTTTCTTATTTAATCCTTAAGTAAGACAGGTAATAACCGACTTAATGCCCAAAAGAATTCTGTATCAGTCGACTCATGTGGTGAGAGCTTATGGTAGGCTTATCGGAGTCAAAAACATATCGTGTTTTACACTTAATCGCTGATTAGACTTTTTAAACTTAATTTAATAAGTGCAGTATTCGCGTTAACAACCATAATCTTTATGTCCTTATGTTACGTTATCACATTCCAATCTCGCATCTGACATGTGTTTTTATGCGAAGTATAGTGAACATCTCTTATGTACCTATAGGATTGTATACCAGTTTGTCAAAATTTTCTTTTTAATGTGTTACCATGTGGGAGAAAAAAACACGCCGTGTGACCGCCACGAGCGACTTGCAGACAAAGAAGGGTCATCGCTGCGCCTGGATAGTTCCAGAGAAACCCACGCCTGGTGATCCAGGGGTACGCAACTGTTGGAAAATAAATATTAGCAAGTTAATTAAATGAGTGTTGTATAAATCTTTAATTTAAATATTAATTTTAATGTTTTTTTTTATTTGAAAGTATCAAAATTATTCGTATGTAAAAGCAGTTTTTAAGGCTTTAAAAGTATTAAGTTAGCCTTTCTAGAGTTTGTTGACTATACGCCTGTATATCTAATTATTCTTGTTTAAAGCAATTAACAACTATTATGCGAGCGCTATTTTGCGAGTTCATTTTAAAACTTTCCAATAATAGGATTTTCAATTTTTGTAATGTTTTGTATTATGTTTTACACACCACTGTTATATAAAGTTCAATCCCAACAGTTCATTATTTTATCGTTTTCCAATTTTCAAGCAATATATAATTTCTTATCAAGAGTTTATGTCACTATTCTGTGATATAAATTTTTTTTATCATAGATAATTTATATGAAATCGTCAACAATCAACTAAGCTTGAAAAATAAGTCTTCTTACGATATAAATATTACGGTATTAGCTTTCGTTTATTCTAATCCTAACGGAGTAGACAGAATCAGCTTAGGGAATTTACCGACCTTGTAACTCTTCGAGAATTCTAAAAGAATTCTAAACAGATCAGACACAAATCAAAGGGAGACATTTTATAATAAAAGATACACCAGTGAAATCTTTAGAACCCAATCTTAGTACACTTAATTGGGATTTGAACCAAAGGCATAAAACGTTAGTGGGCATCTCAAGCACACCGCAACCTTCAATAAACAAAGAGAAGGAAAATAATTACATCTACCTACAATCACACTCAAGTTGCTGTGTTTATCTTAATTGAAGCCCGTCTATTGTTACAACAGTTGAATAGTTTCATTAACACATCAGAGGAATTCCTAACGATGTTGCATTACCTCACACGAGTTAAAGGGGGAGGAGATTTGCGGATTCTTATAAAAATTTAGCGAGACAAACGATTGAATTTTTTGCGGTATGTTTGTGGTGGCAGGTGGTTAGGAGGCTCACCCGAAGTCAAGTGACTGCCACCACCCATGGACATCTACTTCACCCGTGCGGTTGCTGTAACTTTTCGAGAATTGACCCCTCTTTGACACGAAATTGCAATTGTATATATTTTTCTATGGAATCAGGGGCAAACGAGCAAGCGGTTCACCTGATGTAAGTGATTACTATCACCCATGGACTCTCGGGATACCGTAGGTGATACAAATGTTGCAAAAGTAGCCACATAAAGCCGCCGACACAGAAAGTCAACCAAGGTAAAAAACTAAATAAATAATTAAAATACTACATATTTTTAAATGTACCTTACAAAAAACTGTTAACTATGCCATTGGAGAATACTTGCATACGGTTTCATCTGACGTCTGTACTATCTGATGAGGTACTGATCATATATTAACCGTGTGATAGTGAGACAGAGCTTCGCGTAATTTGAAGACTGTCATAGGATACCCGCTACCCATAAATACAACGTCCCCGGCCTTGAGTCCCAGGGCTTCGAGTTAAGCTTGCTGCCAATATATGTCATTTTACATAAACTAAACAAATTAAACTAATTGGTTTGCATTGAGATAAGAGATAGCATTCTTTAGAAAATGTTGACGATGCCTGGCCACGGATGATCCCCGGCTTCGCATCGGCGGTATAGGTTCATTCCACCCCATATATAAGGCGGTCGGAGCAGAGAGCATCAGTAGCAGAAAGCACACCTGCGCATCATGAAGTCCTTTGTAGTTCTCGCCATTTGTCTTGTTGCCGTACAGGTAAGATTATTTAAATCATTAACGTCTTTCATTTAGCTGCGTACTTTTTTTACGTGCATTTTTTAGCGTTTAGCTTAACATTATTCGAAATTTGAATGTTCATTCGGAACATTTTTTTTTTAGAAATTTAAAAGATGTGCTTTTATAAAGTACGCATGCTTTATTGTTTGATTCGTCATTTTGCGAGTTTTAACAGAATACGTACAAAGTTTAATAGAGTTGTGTGCACTTATAACGTTTAGAATTTTTTTAAGATAATTTTTAGTTCCAGATCGGGAATAATTATTTGTAGGCCTGATGCCCGTTTTCACCATCGATCCTTAACTTTAAGGGACTGCATAAAAATATTAAATGGCCATCTTTAGGTGAGCGGAGCCCTTATTCTTAAGACTTTAATCTAATGCGGTACCCCTAAATTGGTGAAAACTAATTTAGGTGACGGGCTGATTGCGGGGTCCCTGTAGTAAAACATACACAATGTTGAAAACGGACATTAAATATTTTTTTCATATCTGGGGTTCAAACCTACGCTTAACAATATCGCTCATCGAGCTATCTGATTGTTATATTACAAGTTATTTGACATTTTTTTTTTATTTTTAACTAATGGACGAATAAAATGGTTAAATAAAATAGTAAAATTGTGGTTGATTTGCGTGTAAACGTTGCATGTTTTTTCACCATTTCCAATTCGTCGACTCTATATTTGTTTATTTCAAAATAAACAAATGTAGAGTCGACGAACCAGCTAAATTATATCTCATAACTAACAATGACGCATTGCTAATGAATTTTTCCATTCAGGCCCTCTCCGACGAACAAAAGGAGAAACTGAAGAAGCACAGAACCGAGTGCCTGACTGAGACAAAAGCTAACAATGACCAGGTTGACAAATTGAAGACGGGTGATTTTACAGTGAGTGGACGTTTTATACCTGCCACTGATATACTGCCTCACTGGCACAACTCGCGACGCCTGCATTCGTAACCGGTTTTAACAATACTGTGTAATTGCCATGGTAATGTTAAATGTTTAATTAACACACTAGTTCAGATTAATTCAGTTCAATTTCAAAATCATCAGCATTCTATTAGAATATATCGTACTGGACGGAATGTTTTTATTAATCGAACTGGAGTTGAGGGATTACCGCCATCCAAGGAAATCTTCAACATGAAAGGTTGAAAATGCGTGGCTTACTTTAAAGAGCTCCCTTGCACTCACTCAATAGACGAAACGCAAAAGTACGATGCTACCACTACACGCTGGTCTTCTGTGTTACCGTAGCCTAAATGGATCTGCTTATATATGCAAAAGCAGGAGACGTTGCCGTGGCCTATGACAGTAATATTACTTTGATAATTCCGTACTTAAATTATTTGTGATTATTAGTGACGGAAAATATCAGAATTGCGCGTGAAATAATCGTTGTCACTAATTTATATCCAATCGATCACGTCTTTGAGACTAAGTAACCAATGTTACATGGTAATCAACAGACCGAGAATGAGGAGCTGAAGAAGTATGTTCTATGCCTGATGACCAAGTCAGAATTGATGTCCAAGGATGGAAAGTTCAAGAAGGACGTCGCCCTCGCAAAAGTGCCTAACGCCGGTTAGTATATTATTTCATAGATAAATTGCCTTTGCAGTTGAGTAAAAAAAATTTGGTCTAACGCCCAGTCAGTATTATTCAGATCAGTTTGAATAAGTTACCAGATCTACAACTATCCAACCTTATTGGAATATAATTAATTAAATAAATAAATTACCCAAATCTTTTTATAAGATTGATTTTTGCCGTTTGTGCAGAAAACCTGTTTTAATTGGTGATGAACTGGGCAGCGTAATTTTTATAAAAAAGCTTAGATATTGTCTAAGTTTCTATTATTGCTTTATTTATTTATTTTTCTCTATATCTCTATTGCTTGGTTGTGTTGAGGTTGAGTTTCATTCATGTTGAATTTCAATCCCTTTAAAACAAGCTTATTTCCCGAGATTTTGTTTTGTATTTTCCATATTTATGTGTATATACTTATGTATTTTTCACGTTCTTGGTCACAGTAGAATTCAAAAAGATCTGCATATAATCCTTTATTGTAAACGCGATTGCTTCATATACTAGGTACTGGATGGAGCAGTCGATCGAACTCTACCAATTAAGCACTAATTGAGTAATCACCCTAACCCCAATTTCATTGCAGCTGACAAGCCCACAGTCGAGAAGCTGATTGACACTTGCCTCGCCAACAAGGGAAACACTCCGCAGCAGACAGCGTGGAACTACGTCAAGTGCTACCACGAGAAGGATCCCAAACACTCCATCCTGATCTAGACATTCCATTTGGTGCAATACGCTGACCGAAAAGCAGCATTTAGGGACTACATTTACTACACATCACTAAAGCCATTAACCGTTTGACTACCGTATTTATCCATCTGTATACGACTTGACAATTCACAACCTGTCCATATCATTGCGAACTTCGTGTTAGGTAACGTAATTCTGTCTATAATAAAGTGTTAATTTCCAAATTTGTTTGTTTCCTTTAGAAAACAAAAAGTCGGCGTCCTCTCGGAAAGTGCTATTAATATTAAATTTAAGGCAAGGATATAGTAGGACTTCCGGTTGAACGAAGTGTTGTAGTGTGCGTATATAGGCCTTATAATCACAATTTTCCTACTTTTGAGAATGTTAAGGAAGATAGCTTTCAGCACAGAGTAACAGGTCATTGCATGCGGTGATAGATCTCTGGCGAAGACTTTAGAGCCTAGTTTTCGCTGCGTAGCTCCCTCAATACGAGCTGTATTGATGGTGTGTAAGTTTCACCACAGAGAATCAAAACTACTCTGGTTGTCACCTGCCCTTCAACATCCCTGATGATTGAAGTATTCTGCGTCAGCGGTCTTCACTTACCGTCAGGTCAACCAATCGCTCAATTTCCATCTCTTTGAACAAGTATAATTTTAAACAAAAAAAAACCGACTTCAAACCGAAAACTAAAAAATATTGTTGATAACTATAACATTTGAGGATTGCCCTTGATTTCTCTAAGATGCCACCATCAGATCCGGGTTTCCTTATCATGGTACCACCGCTGGGATATCTCCTTTACAACAAAAAATAAACATCAAAATCTGTTCATAAACGACGAAGTTATCCCCGAGCACACATAAAAAAAATATACACGATCGAATTGAGAAACCTCCTTCTTTTTTGAAGTCGGTTAAAAAAACACTTAAAGGAGAGTAAAATTCAAACAATAACGAGTATTATGTATAGTTAAAACTGATTCAATTACAGAGTTTTGTTATTGGTATCTTCATTTAAAATAAGCAAATTTAAAATACTAACAGTAATTATTGTGCCAGTTTTATGTGGCATAAATATTAATTTAAGATACAAATACGCAAAAGAAAAACTAAAATTAATTCATGTTTCTTTTGTTCCGAGCGGAAACATACTTATTTCCCAAGGCCGGGTAAAGTGTTCTATTTATATGCATGTTATTGTTCTATACCATATATTGTTCTATGCCAGTTCTAATACAGCTTTATTTGTTTAATTCTTATATTGAGGCTCGTTTCAATATAAGAAATAAAATACATTAAAACTATACATTGCTAAAATCATTTATTACATTTAAATGAAACTATTTATGTGTCATAATTAGTTTTTATGAAGCTAAGAAAAGAGCAGATAAGAATTTCGTTCCTTTGTATACACCTACGTATAAAAATACTAACAACAATCCAAGAAATGTGACAGGGACACACAGATTTGGTCTTTAATTTTTACCTTATGGACATCACAAATGAAAAAAAACGGAAGTAAGAGTCCGTAAAGAGCATGAGAGTTAGCTAAAATCACATTTGTTAGCTATTTCTTCATCCCATTTCAACAATAGGTGAGATTGATATTAATCTCTATATAGAAAACCATAATAATAACCTTACTTTTAAGTTCTGTTATCACGTGCTCAACGAAGAACGAAAACATCTTTAGGAATGTCTAATACTATCTATATGGAGGTCTTTGCTCAGCAGTGGGAAATATATTGACTGTTATTTTACTTTACTTTTACATTAATAATTACCTGTTATCCTGTTGTGTCACAAGGCAAGCGCACTAATGACGACTATGAACTTAAATTCAACCAAATGGATGAAGCTGTTATATTCATATTTTAATCCACTTTATAAGAAATCAAATACATCCTTATTCTTGTAAAATGTGTGATTCAAAACTGGTTGTATGGTGTTTTAAATAAAATATACAGTTCTAAAATTAACTTATTGATTCTTGACATTGTGACACTACTAATAATAAAATTTTTAAAAGATAATGCGGACCGTTTCCTTCCTGCGGATTGACAAGAAGAAAGAAACGGATATCTCAATGCAAACGTCGCCATTACAATGGGTATCCTTCGAAGTCTTGTGTTGAATAAACTAAGCTGTAAATTGTTGTTAATTTATAATTATGAGTGGTTTTAGTTTGTCGATATAGTATATCGCATAAAACGAACACAGAACATGGATAGACCAATCTATGTATTTAAACACGACGGTGTAAATATTGAGACCATTAAAAGACACAATTGTGTATTATTCAAGCAGTATTCCACTTAGATAACTATTTATTAGCAATTTGAGTAATAGAACAAGACATAAATGACAAACTCGTTCTTCTGAGTGATTGTATTAAAACCGGTTGAATTACCAGAAAATACCAACAAATGCGTAAACCGACAATTGCGAAGGTTGAAAATTTAAATTGATCGTAAAAGTAATTGAATCACAGGACGAAGAAGCAAGTTGTGTCACTTTATATGTGATATAGACGTCATTCTAACTGTGCTGCATTTGGCGCGGTAAACCTCGCTTCCTTTACTACATTCTTGAGGATTTTGTTGATAACGACGAAAGATATTAGTTACATGCCAAGTGCTTTACATAAAATTTACCCATAACCAATTAGTTATTTAATGATAATACATAGACAAAGTACAATTGCTCCCAGAACTATGTTCATTCACTTTTGGCGTCTTGTGTTTTATCCCTGAAATATAGGTGATCTATTTTGTCGATCACACATTCAAATCGCTGGTACTTCAGGTATACGGCCTCTGTGAAGTTGTTATTGTTAATTTGTTTTCTTATTACAAAAATGGAAAGGATACAGAGATGCATGTCTCTAATTTCAAATTGGATTTTATTAGGTTCATCATTTCAGCCCGTTTAAGTCCACTGCTGAAGATAGGCCTCCCCATAGAGTGCCAGGAAGTATGATGCCAAAGCCACCTGCACCCATAGACTTCCCGCACATTTGCATAGGTTATCGTAAAATCTTCAAGAAACCCATCCATATATCAAAAATGATTATAGAGGTTGCGAACCATATTGAGGTTAATTAGCCACCTATAATATTCTTATTACCTAAAACACGCTATTAAATGCGTAATTTAGTATAATTGTGTAATGTTTGCCTAAATACTGTAATATGTAGAAGACATATCTATTTGATTCTCTTATATAAGATTACATCTGAATCGTATAATCCTAATCGCCTGAGATAAATACAATGTAATAACACTCCTTATCAGATCATTAGTTGAGCATCCTGAAGATATGTACTTTGTAGGTTCAAAATTTCTTCCTTGTTTGCTGTGAATCTACTAAATAATACTGTCTGTTGATTAGGTATGAAAAAAGTTTCGGGTCAATTTGTAAAACAATTCGTCATAGAATGAAGCCATTTTCTTTATCGCTCAATGTCCAGCTGTATCGATCTATGTACTTTGTCTGTATTGGGTCCATTCACAGACAAACACCGGACACATCTTCGTCACCAATCTTCTACACCGTTTCTACTTCAAATGAGCGTGAATCATACGTTATCTATAATAAAACTGACATTTTATTGGGATCACCACCCTCTCATTGGGTTGACCGTATTTTAGTGCAAACTTTTGTGGACGAAATTCAAGAATATACATACGCATATGCAGCAGACACAGTGGAGCACGTGCGTTTGGCTCCATACCCCTAGCTTGTAACAAAATGTAAAGGATTTTCTTAACACCAAATCAAAAACACGTTACACCTTCATTGAGTTTGAGTAAACGTGATTTTGATACTGTTTTATTATTATGCAAAATCGAGGACAACATGCGACATACAAACGTGAACTGTTGATTTGTTAATCGAGAACCTGGTCTGTGATCTCACCTGAAGATACTTACCCTGACGATTGGTAAAACAAATGGGAAATATAACATAATACTGTTATTATTTTATGAATCCCTTTCAATTATTGTTCACGCTGTGGAGTTATGGAAACCTTTGACAGTTTTAAAAACATTTGCGATAAATTTGCGGAAGTCTATTCTTGAGTTGTGATTATAGAATAGAGATCCGTTGTTCCCACAATCACAATGCTTGAAGATTTTCAATAATAATAACAAGGCAGTCTAATATTATATATAAGAAAAACTGAGTAGAGATAGTCAATCATTTGTCTAGCTATTTTCTATGCAGTAGTAGTTACAGTAAACCTAAAATGGTCGGGTTATCAGTTATGACGGTTTGCTTTTTACTAGGTTTCGCTCAGGTAAATATTGTTTGAAAATTTTCAGTTATTCTCACTATAAAAGTTTGCATACTAAAATTGGTGTTCATAGTGGTAAGACGTCTACCGAAAATAGTTAACAAAACTAAGGATTATTATGGGTTATAAACAAGAAAATTAATATGTAATGAATTAATTTATTTCAACATTAATTTGCAATAAATAACGTACCTTATTATTATATTTTTGAGATTATTTGTCTGTATGTAACAGACAAATTAAGTTAAGTAATTACTGTTTTATATAAGGTCTAACTACTGAAATAATTTCCATACGCCAAGAATTCTTTATTTTATGCAGATAAAATGTTGGCTTGCTATTATAGACAATACGAAGCTTTTATAAGTCCCTCTATCAATATAATCAAAAACTAAGAAGAATTTCATTTACTTGTTTAAATTTTTGGAGCCATTGATAGCGCGTTAACTAAGCGATGTCCACAAAAAGGTGGTCCCAGTTCTTTTTATATGAGAGAGTGGCAATCGAGCTAGCAGTTCACCTGATGTTAACAGACATCAGGTGAACCGCCGCCCATGGACATTCGCAACAATCGTAGAATTGGAATTAAAAAATTACGAGTAACTTTACAATGACGACCCGAATGGCGTGGATGGTGGTGTGCCAGCCTCCTGCGCCAGAGGGTGTGGGTTCGATCCCCACTACTGGAAAAATATTGTGTGATGAACATAGTGTTTTTCTAGTGTCTGGGTGTTTATATATATTTATGTATAATATGTATTTATTTACAACAAAACAAAATGTTTAAGTATGTTGATCAGTTTTCTGGTACCCATAGTACAAGCTTTGCTTAGTATGGGACCAGAGAATGTTGTGTTAAAAAAAATGATCTAAACCCTTCAAGTCTGCGTGCGTTTCGTGGCCGTGTAACGCTGTGCACAGACGTGTCGATTTAAAGGGCAAGCAGGTGTACCCGAGCTTTAAGCGCGGCATTCTCGAGTGCGTCGAGGAGTCGAAGGTCAGTCCGCAGCTGGTGCTCCAGGTCACCTCTGGCAACTGGAACGTGGTAAGTGCAAGTGTTCAATCTACGGGGTAGACTTGTGTGGTTACTTCAGCAAAAAAGAGGAAGCCCACCTTCAAGCCAGAGCTGGAAGCCAGTCTTCATCATCATCAATTCAGCCTGTTCTATTCCACTGCAGTAGTGATGAGACAGACATTGTGGTTTGGAAATCGCTCACAGTCTTACTGGCCTAAAGCACGTCTATAATTCTCGTTGCGGTTTATTCACTGTGGTAGAGATTGCGCTGTTGATGCCCACTCACCAGGGTTGACTCATCCGGAGTAGCGTTTATCACATAACTCGCCAGCTTGCATACTACAGCGACATTTTGTGAAAGAAATGTTCAGGGGTGTCGAGTACTCATCGTCAAATGAACCGGTCGTTCCCTCGCTATTTTTTCTTTTTATTAAACCAAACAAGTTGAAATACGCTGCTTAGATTTGACAGCATTTTTTGTGTCAGAAGATAGCAAGCGAGTTGGCGGTTCCTTAGTGTCAGATAGCACTTTGGAGCATAATTGTTTCATCATCGCAGCCTATTTTAGTCGATAGCTGAACAAAGGCCTCCCACCACCCCGTAAGCTATGGGGAGGACGTATTTGTTTATCTCTTATCTCTTGCTAATATTTGTTCCTCAGACCGATGCAGTAGTACAATAAAATTCCCTAAGCCTATTATTTTCCTACATGTTCCTGAGTGATGTTAAACGTCTACTGACACTTAGTCACGCGCCTCGGCATTAATTCAACACAAGCTGCTGCCCACGACTACGTCTGCGTAGAATAGGCTGAAGGCGTAACATTCAGACAGAAAGACATATATACATAAAAATATGTATATAAATTCTTGTATAAGCTATATTATTATAAAGTTTCATTAAAATCCATTAAGTTGTATTTGCGTGAAAGAGTAACAAACATCCATCCAAACATACAAACTTTCGCGTTTATAAAATTAGTAGGAATGCGGAGCCGCCTGACTTTTACGCAGCGAAATTTTTATTAGGTACTAGCTGTCCGGGCAGACTTAGCTCTTTTTTTTTATACACAAAAATATATATCTCAGAAATATATATTATAAAAAAATGTATTAGCCGAATTGGTCCAGCCATTCTTGAGTTATGCGCTTACCAACATTCATTTTTATTTATTACGATTCACTACACAGTAATTATATTGCGGCCACAATATATGTACATTTTGGTAATCGCAAAGTGTAAAATATCGCTTGATGTAAATCGATTTGCGAGCCAATAAGCAATCTGACTTTGCTCTTTAGTAAGATTAAGTTAATGACAAACTTAATTTTTTTACGATTCTGTAGCCGTTACGTTAACTTAAGTAAGCTCATGTCGTTCACAGAGGGAGGACTATCGACTGAAACTGTGGGCTAAGTGCTTACTTACCAGGGCCAATATGATGTCCAAAAGCGGCGTGTTCCACATTGACGTCGCTCTATCAGCAGTTCCTGAACATGGTAGTATATCAAAATACATTTTTCAATAGAAGCATTGCATTTACTTATTGATTGCCAAAACGCTACGCAAGCTACCACCGTTTGTTATACATGTAGGCTGAGCTATCAATATAACTATTTATATACCTTAAATGTCATCATTATTACATTATTACATTTTTCAGACAAAGCCGCAGTAGAGAGAACCATCGATGAATGCCTGTTCTCAACAGCCCACAAACCCGAAGAAACAGCGTGGCATTTTCTTAAATGCTACCACCAGAATAGACCGAGACATAACTTTTTTTAAAATTAATCTAGACGAATATCTCCCAATATTAACATTTAAAACATATTAAAAGTTAAGCGAAAATAAACGTGAGAAAAATGTTTTACATAATTATTAGTAACGCTGTCATCATGCAAATAAAAATACTGAAATATAGTTTGTGTTTTATTAAAGTGCCATCTATAGGAATTTTCATATACTACACTATTCCATGAAACCCTAAATTATCGTAGGAGCTTACTACTAGAGGGCGCTGACAATTCTTCTGAGTAAACGTACTTACTCGATGCGTAGACAAGAAAACTATATATTTGTGTTGTCAACATGAAAAAGCATGAAGTTTTATCCATCTGTACAATAAATATGTGAGTCATTTCTGGGATACCAGATGAATGAATATTTGTTAATTATTTAATATTTCGTCAGTTTATTCATTTATTTCTATAAGACAACAAGAGATGTACAAGAAGTCCACATAAAATTTAAATTTAGTGTTTCTTTTCTATGAATGACAAGAAAAGACCACTGCAGCAGTTGATACGTAATTCAATTGATTGTATCTAAATGTATAGTTTATGATCTTTTTGAAGGAATCCAAAAGCCTTCATCTCTTCGGGTTCTTATAATTTTTATCCAAACATTCCATAGTTAATTTGCTGTAGAACACCTATAAAAATATTCTTAATCAAGTCTTCCAGATGAGTAAAAATAACACATTGGATTACCCAATCTCTCGTTATGGTTTTTTGTTCCAAGAGTACTGATATTAAAACAACTAAAATATTAACTTAAATAATCATAATAATATCTTACATAAAACATATTATAGGTATTATTAATATATGAACCAATTAAATTAGTGTCTCACTGCGTTTGGTTATTCCTTGACGTTGTTTCTAGGATTTAGTATTATTAAAACATGATTTCACATCACGCTATGGATATGATTGAGTTTTATTACTTAACGTAAACAAAACCTACATAGAAACATAGAAACCTTCAAGCCACGTAATGGCGGCCGGTCGACTTACGATGATATAAATGTGTGCGTGAGGCATGTACATACAAGCAGTGCAGCGTACTTACTATGCTTCACTTTCGATATACGTGGCGCGGAGTCCTGTTATTTTACTAGTCCATGATAGAGACAATATAGAGAAAACAATGTAAGTCCATCACATCAAACACGCATTTTTCTTTGAGAAAGCAATGTAAGTATATCACATCAAACACGCATTTTTCTTTTCGGTTATCGATTTTTAAATTTATGATTTGCTTCCGTTTTTTCCACTTTTGGAGCCATAACATTGCCATATACAAAATTTAATTCTATTCAAAATATATTCAACAGTTTTTGTGTCATTAATAATGAATGATATAGTATTTTTGTATAATGTTTTCACTTTTATACCAATAGTAATTTAGTTCATCGAGAAATTATTCTTGCCGCGAACGGAAATAAAAATAAATTTTAATATTTTAGGTCGGTTTAGTAATTAGTAAAAGGGCCAACGGTACAATAAGGTCGCCCGAAGTCATTAAAGAACGAAAACGATAAGCCGTCTTTGTTATTTTAGTCAATAAGTAAATACATAATGCTGTACTACATTACAAGAAGTGTGTCCATTTTAAAATCAGTAAGCCGTGTTGTATGGAATTGTTTTGTACCGATAACATAAGGGCGTACGCAAACGGAATTGAATTTTACCCAATTTAATTTGATAGCTGTGAACTCTGAAGCATAAATGCCTGCGATGTCAAATTTTGATCTAAAATTGTCGAAATTATACAATCTTCAGATATCTTACGTGGAATATTGCCTTGGGATTAATGCCCCGCTTAGTTGCAACGATGTAATATAACCTTGTTATATTTGTTGTCGTTTTTACTTATTTTGTGTACAATTAGTTTGTGTTTGTTGTTATAAATGCGATTATTTTTATGTTGTGATGTTTGGCGAGAGGCATTCGCTGGATTATATCTATGAAATGATGTTTGAACTCAACGCCATTGGTGTGACTATATTAAATGATGACAGGAGTCAATAATAAGCAACATTGTTTACTATTCAGTCTTCCGTGAAATTTTGTTTTCGTTTTGAGAGTTTAGCGCCAGTTTCTACCATTTTGACTTCATCCAACATAAGCTGCTTCGGCTTCCTGTGTGAACAGCCGTGGCAGAACTATTATCGACTCGATATTAGAAACCCATTGAACATAGGGCTACTATTTATCTAAAGCCAGCATAGTTTTGTATTTTGTTTACTATTTCAAAAATGAGGTCGTTCTGAATTCGATTGTGTTTTCTCACATTTGTTAGCTCAGGACACCGTCATTTACTGGTGTGACCCGATTTTAATAATTATCTTTCCATTGGATTCTGTTTAGTTTCTACGTGGACCCATATAAAATTATTTGTGTTGGACCTTAAACTCCGGAGATGCGTCATAGAAAATGTATAGTGAGTTAGATATTTGTAGTTAGTTTTGTTTTCTGTTAATGAATCTGCTTAACAGAAAACACTGTGTCTTACTTTCCGCAGTGAAGCGTTACCTCCTTTGAAGTTTATCAATAGCATATCAAATAAAATCAAATCAAATAATTTATTCATCGAAATATGAAATATACATTTTATTTATCGATATTCATTTTTTAACCGCACCGTCTCGTAATGAGGTTCCTCTAACGGAAAAGAAACAGGGGAAAGAAACTCCGTAGGTATCCTCTTTTTTGTCATTTGTTTTCAAACAATTACATTGTACAGTAAATATCATAAAAGCCTCTCTATTTCAGTGTAGTAGCCCTTAGCAGAACAAAGCAATGCGGCGGCTCATGTTCCGATGGTAGTTCTGATTGCATTGCATTGGAGCGGTGCAAGTTGCTCGTTAGGCCAGCGCCATTATGCATTACGAACTGGCAACACCAGGAAGTAAGCTCGGCGTCCTGATATCCGTATTTTGTATTAATCGCAAATTACTAATGCCTTATTTTACCAATGATTAGCAACGAAAAGTTTTGTTCGCCGCTGCACGAATCGTTTGTGTTCTGTGATGGACCTTTCGATAGATGTGCCAAGCATTGTTTAAACATGCCAAAAAAACGAAGATTTTTTTATGTAAGAAAATGGCAAGCGAGCTGGCGGTACACCTGATGTTAAGTGATACCCGCCACCCGTAGTCATTTGCAATACCCTTAGAGTTACATTACCCTTTAATTCAATATACTCGAGCAACCCGAGTTCGATCCCCGGTGCTGGCACCAATGGCAACTTTAAGTGCTGACTTATCACGTGCTCCGCGGTGAAGGAAAACATCGTGAGGAAACCTGCATATTTTCGAAATAATAACAAAAAATATATTTCGAAAATATGTGAAGTCCGCCAACCCGCTGTGGGGCCGCGTGGTGGACTATGCCCTGTTGCCCTCTGTATAGAGGAGGCCTTTGCCCAGCAGTGGGATATGTATAAGCTGTTACTTTTAGAGTTACAAATGCGTTGTTACCTTTCAATAAGGTGGAAGCCGGTTACCTCACTCGCTAGGATAAACGCATAAATAAAACACTTCCACTTCACGCCGGTCTTCTGTGAGGTCGTAGTACTTACACGGACCTGTTTAGACTTTTGATTTTATCGGTGTCGCAACCAACCATTTACTATTATAAGCGTCTAACTAATTTTTATCTTATTCCATCCTTAATTTGTTTTCGGGGATTCGAACCTGGAGGCAGGTGATACGTGCCTGACGCTTTAGCCACCTAGTTCTTATCTACTTTGTTTTGTATTACATTTCTCAGCAATGCACGTTGTGAAAGTTATTGGTTTTTTTAAAGACCGGCCGTCTGCCTGAGATCAACCCTCTTTGGGAACAAAACACCTAGAACAGTTATCTGCCGTTGTCACAAATACTTGTCTCATATGGGAATCGAACTCACTATGTCCGAACCGACCTCGAACCGAAGCCAATTCGCCACCAACTGCATCACGGAGTCATCAAAGTATAGTAATTATAAACCAAAAGTAACAGACCAAGCCTTCGGGATAGGCTTTTGATTCTTGTCGTAAGATACTTTTGAGGATTATGTATGATTTTTTTAACGGAGTCTTCGCCATGTGGATACCGAGAACAGTTTTCGTTTCCGGTTTTTTTTTTTTTTTTAATTTATTTATGTAAAACCTTATTACTATACGGGATAATCTTAACGTATAGTAAGAGTAATGTTTGAAAAAAAAGTTACGTGATTAATTACTGCTGGTAATTGGTACTGCTGGTGGTATTAAAGCTTTCCAGTAACTTTTGCGGGGAACTTAGTCAATTTCAAAAGTCACAAAGTAAATTACTGTTTGCATTTCTTAATGGCTGAAGTATCCGGTAAGTTTGCTGTGCCCATGGTGAATCTATCCTTGTCTCACAAATTAACAGCAGTATTTCCATAAGATTAGTTTAGACAAACAGCTCCTTTGCATAGGGCATTAGTTTACATTATTTGCACACTTATTGTTTACACACCTTTAAGTTTCATCTTAAGTAAATAGGGTAGTGCTAAAGTGTATGATTAAAACTTCAATAGTAAAGGTGACATCTCCAGTTTTAGGTTGAGCACTAACATTTGTTCAGTTTACATCACAGAAACAAAAGCCGAACATCTTAACGCTTAAGATTTTTTTTTAATTTGAGACGGTGGCAATCGCGCTGGCCGTTCATGATGCTAAGTCATAACCGCCGCCCATGGACACTTGCAACACCCACAGGGTTGCAGATGCGTTGCCACCTTATAGTGAGCTACGCCTACCTACGAAACACAGAAGTTCTACTTCTGCTTCTATGAGGTTGTGGTACTTCCCTGGATGGACCAGTCCATTCGTGCTATAGCAATGACTGTTTCATGGCCCTACCACTAACGGTCACGTCGGAAACAAATCTAATGGAAGATTAAAATATCAACAAAAAAAAACATGTTCTAACATTATAATTAATGTTACGAGTATAGAGCGTTTCTTTTGCCGACAGCGTAATTTTACTA